ATTTTTATTATACCTACAGTACGTAGCTATAATTAATCTGGAATAGTTGGAATACTGGAAGAAAACAAAAGGAAGCTAAAAGAACTGAAGCCCAAAGTGTCCATGGGAGAAAAACGTGTGAGTGCTGAATGGCAAACTAGGGTATTTGCAAAGGACAGCAATTTTGGTGAAAAAAATCACTGAGTAATTTCTCCCTTCTAATATACACAAAAACCACAACTGGTGGATAGGGACAAGCTAATATGTCCTTCTGTCACTGAAAGATGAACATTTCTAGCAATTTCAAGGGCTAATCTCTGCACAGTTCCAAGCATCTCTTTCCTGTTCCTATTGTCACTATCGAGTTTCAACATTGATTGCAATTACCTGAGGCTGCCACATCAGCGATAGGTCTTTTTGTTACATTAGCCATGAAACCCACGATGGAGAAGATGACAAAGCCTGCGAACATGCTGGTGAAGGAGTTAATGCAGCAGACAATGATAGAATCTCTGTAGAGGAGAGACAAAGCGTAAGGTAGCCATTGTCATGCCTGTATCAATTCCTTATCAACCTGACACACATTGTCACGAGGTATTGGGGGAAGGGATGGTGGAGAGCCATTTTGCATCCTCCAGCAGCACAGTAGCTTAATACATTTATACTGACCAGTGCTTTTAAAATGGCAGTGAGATTCACTCTTGTCATACTAATTGGAACCATACAGTATGTACAATAGTTTGGAACTCTGTTCCTGTGGGTGTAAAACATGGCGGAGCCAAAATAATGAAACGGCTGAGAGAGCTGGAGGCTCAGATAGTCCCAAAATAGAAAGATACAGTAGACACTATGTTGCCAGGAAACCAACACTAATCTCAGGAAGAGACATCTGCCTTAAAAAAACAAAAGGATCTGTCTGGACTGATTTTTAAGAGACAGTAACATTTCCTCTCCTCACTTGATTGCAATGTTGTATGAATCACCCACCTGTATACGTTGTTATTGAAGGGATTGTAGCTGCCGAGAGCAATCAGAGAGCCTAATCCCAGCCCGTAGGAAAAGAAGATCTGAGTGGCAGCATCCAGCCACACCTGACACACAGAGATTAGGAAACACATTTAAATAATCAGATGTACACTCATAGCCTGAGGCCAGCTAAATAAAGATACTTGTAAAATTGTTTCATCTTACTTATGATCTTCGTTCATTCTGAGCCATTTTAACTGGTTGCATAAATGTGTACAAATGTTTCTTGCCTCTTATAAACCTTTCATTTAATGTTGCACTTAGTCCAATTTGATCTACTCTGATTTCATTGCATCTTATCTTCATCTGGCCTTCTATCATGTTCTACTGTACTTGAACTTCAGAGATGTAGCTAAGTCATTTCTTCACAATCATTGCATAAGAAAACATCTTCTAAAAATCAACCAAGATTGTGCACTTACAATTTGTTTAAGCTCTGCACAATGTTTAATTATCTTTTTAGATGCCAATAAGAGGCATCTACAGTGGCATTATTATGGTCTGTAAAGAGTCTATGCAACTTTGCCCTCGCCCCCAAAAAATCAAAATTAATTCACCTTCGAGTGCCTTAACTGAGCCAGACAAGAACCGGCAGTAACCAAGGGTTTGGGCTGGGTTTGGACACATAGCTCACACTCTGGGCTAGACGGCTGGAGCACGTAAATGATTTTAAGGGGATAAACATTGTACAAACTCAACTGCATCGAGCTCAGGTCAGATTCAGACATTATATTCTACTATATAAGCTTGTTGGGTCTTGGTCAGGATAGGATGCAGCACTCTCGAGCACAGGTCGGGTTTGGACAGAAACATGCGGCCTGAACCATGCTCTAATTCACCTGCTGCTTATTTTAACTTCTACAGCCACCTTTATTTTGGTGGTTAATAAAGACCGATATGTATTCCTGAAGGAGAGCTCATACCTCAGACTCCTTAAGTTTGTTAAAGTCTGGTGTGATATAGAAGAGGATCCCATCCAATGCACCAGGCAGAGTGATGCCACGACAAAACAGGATGAACAACATGAAGTAAGGGTATGTGGCTGAGAAGTACACCACCTGTGGTACACAAAGTGTAATATTATCTATTTAACTTGTGAAATCACACAACAATCAAACTGCATTTATCTTGCAATATTTGTCCTGCAAGGCAACAAAACTGTAGAAATAAAAACTGCTATGTTGTTCAACTTGTCAGGAACAGTGTTACTGTGGCACCATCCCCACAGCACAGCACAGTGACCTAATCAACCATTCCCTAGAGGCAAGATGACCCCAGAATTGTTGGGTTCAGCAAGCTCCTAGTGTGCCATTTCCCTCCTTATCCGACCTAATTTTACAGTGTGTTACCAAAGTCAACACATCTCAGATCATTCATGATAAAGCCACAGAATAAGAAATGAAGCAGCAGAGATTCTGTCATTGAGAATACTATAAAAAATATTATATGCTTTTAGCTCAGTGGGGTGAACATAGCTCTACAGTGGCTACATTTAGATCTTTATCTTACATTGTGGAAATTAAAGGTACTCATTGTATGTAGGATACTTTGGGTATTTGCATGTAAAATATTGTCTAGGATTTGACAGCATACACTGTATTGTTTAAAGCTCTGATATTGTTGTTATATGATGTTCAAATATTTTAAACTACGAAAAGGTTGTATCTTGAACTTAAATTTGAACTAATCCTACACCAAAAGTAAACATAAATAAAGGGTTAAGTGTAATCACAACCCCCTTCACTTGAACAATAGTCCGACACGCCATTGTGCTAATTCTGTGACCTTGCGTAATGGATTCAAAGTCTTGTTCAAGGATCATACACATGAAAAGATGCAAATTCGGTACACGGCAGATTTTGATTTTCCATTTTGTATAGTTTGTTCCCTTTGTTCTCTCCTTCTACTTACTTTGCCAGTCCAGCTGACCCCCTTCCAGATACAGAAATAGACGAGCACCCATGCAATGGCGAGAGTGATAGCCAGTGGGATCCTGACCTGCCCGGGCTTCTCCAGACCATCAGTCATCTGGTGCATGTTACGTCTGCAGGGAACGAGTAAACTGGTCTTATTACAACACGCAAATTTATCTTTGATCTCATACATGCAGAACCTATGGGTGCATGCATAAATATGCATACATGTGTCTGGTTACTCACAAAGAACCTTTGCGTTGTTTTTTTCCTCACCCCTAAATTTTTTAAGGGAGTCACAGGAAGTCATGCATGAATGTCTATGCACATTTTTTCCACAGTATTTTCTATGCTTGTTTGAAGTCATTTTATAGCATGTGCATTTTTTCAATTTTAATAATATCCTAAGGTAAATGACTATTAACTAATATGATAGACCACTGGATCAGCATTAGGCATCTAGAGTGATGTGAGGCTCTGACCCTGGATCTGACCCTTCATTATGCACATTTGGGGAGAAAAGATTTTCTCTGTTCACCACAAAGCAGTGATCTAAATAGAGTTTTACTGTATGTCCAGCTTACTCCCAGAACTCCACCACAGCACTGGTGAGGTTTGTGGTGTCTGTGATGCTGTAGTTGGTGTAGCAGCGTTCTGTGTTCCAGAAATTGCCACAAGTCTGCCATGGCAGCTCCTGAAATTAAAGGCAAGAAAAAAAAAAAAATCACACAGACAGGTCTTTTTACTTGGATCACTCTCCCACCGCTGGGGCCCATTCTCTCTGGCTGTCAAGCAGCCAAAACCATGATACTCATTTGGGACACTGAGATTTCATGCCTTTCTCAGAGGAGTGAATGCCTGATGGCCAAATGCATTTATCAATACCTTGTGTAAGGCACTAATTATGTGGGAAAGGAAGTATTGTAATAAATGTCATACTCTGTTAAAGGCTGTGCACCTTTACATAAGAGATGCTGGCAAACAGAACTCACACCATTACTGAAAGGACTAGTATGTAAAAAATACAACCTGGGCAAAGAAACAAAAGAAAACAATAGAAAATAATCAGTTCTTCTGATTTAAAGGGTCAAATTAAAAGTGAAATTTCCCAGTAAGAAATCCTGGGTAATTAAATCTAGACTACTTACACCCCCACAACAAAATTGTGGTATTACACTCAGGGCACATTGTTTTGTCTTTATGAGGAAACAGCATGAATATAGATACTCACAGTGGTGAAGGAATTGTAAAGATAGTAAAGAGCCCAGGAAATGATTACAATGTAATAGATATTGAGCCAGAAGGACAGAACAGCAGCAGCCAAACCCACACCTGAAACAACGTGAGAGTACAGGCATGATGTTAAATTGTGCTAAAATAAGAATTGGAGTAAAACAAAAAGTGATGATATATTGTATGTACAACATTTTCGATAGTTTCAGTTGTTAATAGAAAACAGAATTTTGCTCTAGTATATACATGCATAGCCCCCAACCCCCGGAAAAGGCTATCGATTAATTAACCTGGCCTTTATGAAGCAGCCAATTAACAAAAATATAGTCGAGGACCATAAAGATAACGCAAGTGTGTCTTTACCTTTGAAAATGGGGGCCAGTTTCCACACTCCAAGCCCTCCAATAGAAGTGTACTGACCCAGAGCCGTCTCCAGAAAGAACAGGGGCATGCCAGCAAATATGAGGGTCAAAAAGTAAGGAATCAGGAAAGCCCCTGAATGAAAGGTGAAAGGCAAAGGTGTATAAATGAAGATAAACCATAAACTATTAACATTCAAGATAATCCAGATAAGAGATTTGGTAAATGAGTACTTGGTATTACACAGCGGCCATCACAAGGCAGGCTCTCGCCTGTGCGCAATTACGCATGGCTATGACGGAGGCAAATACATTAAGATATATTTTAATTTAAAACCTCCGGGAGTCAACTGGCAGGTTTGGTGTCGAGATCTTTGCACTCCTTTTGATGTATGGATACATGGAAAATTGTCAAGAATTCCTGATTACCTCCTCCGTTTTTTCCACATAAATAAGGAAATCTCCAGACATTTCCGAGTCCTATTGCGTATCCGACACAAGAGAGAAGAAAGTCAAATTTCCCAACCCACGTTTCTCTCTCGGGTATCTCCTTTTTTGTTTTCTGCACTTTCACCACCAAGGTTTTTGGTTTGTCGTTTGGCGTGGTGGTGGGCGCGTCATTCACTGTCTCCGTTAAGACGTGTCCGTCCGAGGCTTTGGTCCCGTTGGTAGCCATGGTCACTGTATGTGTCGAATAATCCTGACCAGGGGAGAGGAGGGGATTTCAGCACTGTTCCAGACAAACAGCAGCTTCTCCGTCCCGCACACCCAGCTGCCAGACAACAGCGACAAGGTACAAATAATCTGGGAAACGAGAGTGATCAGGAGCAGAGGCACTTTCAATAGTCCAACGACCCTGCAAACATAAAGAAATAAACATAGTGCTAAAATTCACTGAAAAATTTAATCAAAATATCTCACTTGGATGAGATAATTTTACTTGTAGTCCAGCAGATTTACTTGTTTGAAATGTCTAAAGTTGAATGTCCCATCTGGCATGCGTTTGCGTAATTTTGCCTAAGATATTAACATTGTAGAAATAAATCTGTGATTCTGAATTTCAGTTCATTGAACGTGTAATTGCTTTATTTCATTAAGTGAATAATCAAGGTGTTTGGAAGAAAATCAAAATCTTAATAAAATTTTGATTATGATTTTAAGTTTAAGCATGTGCCCGAATTGCTTATTTAGGTGTTGGCCTGAAAAAAAGAAAAAGACGTTTAATTTCACTGATAAAAGAAATATGTGTAGCTATATATCATTTTACACGATTTGTGTGGATGCATTTACATTTCTTCAGAGGTGGAGAGAAAATAAATCTGCCTTGCGATCTGTGAACCCTACGGGATCAAATAAAGACTTCTCGTTCAATAAGAATCACTTTTAATTGCCTGGAATGAATGCATGTTAGCAGAAATTTAGAGCCTGCTTTTGTCCTTGATTCATTATGCTCTAAATTCAATGGCCCACTTCCCACCGCTTCTGTAGGAGAGAAGAGCAATTAAACACTTTTAGGAGTCAGACGCGACTATCATGTCTAATGAGTGACCTTGGCAGGCTAATAACCACTGGAGTTTACAGCCTGAATAGACATTTCCATCAAATATCTGCAAGGCTGAGTTAAAATGTATTATATCAATTTGATTTTCCAAATAATCACGATGAATTGATAAGCAGTTAGATATGCTTTTTAAGTAACTTAGTTTCAGCATTGTCCTGCATTTAAAATATGTTTTAATGGATTTTAACTTTTAAAAATGCAGCGCTCCTCATCACATTGCGTGCGTAACTGGAGAGGAGAAATAGAAGCATGGGTAGCTTATATTCAGAGTTGTATAGCAAATATTTCAATATTTTTATGAGACTCCGTTCACAATACAACTGTTAATATTTCGAGTTCGCGCACCATTTCACTTCAAAGTGGCACACACCCTCCAGACAGATGGGATTTCAGTGTCTACGTTTTTTCAACGCGGATCATACATTTGACACATTTAAAACGCGGCTGTGGGGCTGAAGGATCACATACGCTAATCGCCCTTATGAGATAAATTTGTGTTGCTGTGCAGTCGCACATCAGTGCTCATTGCCAAATTCAGCGCATATACATATGGCAAATTCCTTTGTGTTGAAAAACTCACACCGTTCCCTAGTTTATATGACGTGCATACTATATAAGATAATACTTACAAAAAAAGTCCTTGTCCTTCCCAGATTGTTTCCCCGATGGGGAAGAGGAAGTTACTTCCTCGAACTTTTACAGAATAAAAACAAGATGAAAACTTTGCTTCCGGTGACAGCGAGCAAATATATGATCCTGAGAGGTGGACGATGGCGGACAAATGCGTCTTTGAGCGCGAGGTGCTGTCCTTAAAGGAGTGGTGCTGAAAGAGAGGAGGGGAAAGGAGACGGGGAAACGAGCTGCCGCCGCCTGAGTTGATGTGAGCAGGGACGTAACATGCAGCGCCAGATCCGGACTCTCATCTACATAGCGTCAATGTCACCTCAAAGTCGACCCTCCCCAACTCCAACATTTCCACCACCGAAATGGCAGCGAGTTTGAGAGAAGAGCATCGGGTTTGAGTGAGGTTTTATATTCTTACGCCTGCAATTTTTTTTTAACATTAGAAGCAGC